CTGTGTGTGTGTGTGTGTGTGTGTGTGCGCGCGCGCGCGTGCGTGCGTGCGCGTGCGCACGCGCGCTATCTTCGTTTTGATTCAGTTATGATGTTGTGGGGGTAGGTGGTGGGGTGTTAAGTTGTTCTGTGTAGATAGTGTGTAATTCGTGGTATATTGGGTTATATATTTCTTTATTTATATTGTTCATATGTGTGTTTTTCTTTGTCATTCTCTATATATGATAGTTTTCCAATGTGTTTAAGTATTGCCCTTTCTTATTTGTTCCTATGATATCCATAGTGTTTTCTATAGTACCATATGCATGTCCTGTGTTTAATATGTGTTCTCAGTATCCTGTATTACTGTTATTGTGTCTTATGTCATGTATGTGTTCTTTATATCTGGTATTAAATTTCCTCCCGGTTTGTCCTATATGTTCCTTGGAGCAATCTAGGCATTTCATACTATATATGCCGCTATTATTATATTCATTTATTCGTGGTCTTGATTTTAATATATTGTGACATGTTGCACAATGAAGAACCCCTCCCTACCCAGCAGCAACGTGGCAACTCGGGCCACAGTGAAATGGCGGATGAGTCAGCGCTCCCCTCCCCCCCCTCCGCAAGGTAACGTAACGCGCAACACGCGGTGACGTAAGACGGTGTGAGGTAACAGTGTTGCTACGTAACAGGCACACACAGCCACTATATAAGAGAGCTGCACTGTCTGCGAGTTGAGTTGTAATGTGGCCATTGCCAAGTTAAGTAGTGGTCGAGCGAGTGTGTTATCAACAGTTCTCAAGAGAGCAGCCTGCGAGTTGAGTTGGAATATAGCAGCCGTCGCGGAAAGAAGAACCGGATGTGTGTGTAACTGTGTAATTGGGAGTGTGTGAGACAGACTTGTATAGCTCCCGTACTGTGAACGTGTAGACTACTGAAGACAGAGTGAACTGATTTGTGAATAGGGTTATAAATTGTGAAACCCTGCAACAGTGTAAACAGATTAATGCGATCAGGGTTATAAAGTGTGTTATAAATAATTGTAGCCGTTACTTGTAGGTTGTTGAATAAACCAATTAACAATCTCTACGGCGTTTTCAGTAACAAAACACGGCACAACTGGTGTCAGAAGTGGGATTTGGACTTACACACGTGACCGACGAGATTCGAACTCAAGACACGTTACACTGGTGTCAGAAGTGGGATTACGAGCTTAAACACGCCTTGAAGAATTAAACTTACGACTACTTCGACTATTTTACTGCTACAAAATGGAGAAGCAGCAGATGTTGGAACTCCTGCGGAAGGAACTGAGGGCACAGAGAGAAGCTGCCGAGAAAAGGGCTGATGACAGGTGGAAAGCCTGGTGAGGAAAGATGGCTGCCATGCGAGAAGAGCTGGTCGCAGAAACGGAAACCACAAGAGCAGAAAGAAGAGCTATCCAAGAAAGGACGGAAGCCACCCGAACAGAAACAAGAGCTATCCAGGCAAGGACGGAAGCCATGTGAGAAATAATGGGCACCAGCCACATGGAGATGGTGTACGCATTTAAACCCGAAGGAGACGTAAAGACGATAGCCTGCCAAGAGATGGAGGCACATCTAGAAGAAGAAAAGCCGGCCCCAGTGGACATGAAACCTGAGGCGGAACAACAAGAAGAGGTCCCTGTAGACGATGTCGCAGTGATACCGGTCAGTGAACCTGAAGATGAATTGATGCCGATTACCCAAACGGAGACGGTGGTCTACCAAGTGGACACGAAACCTGCGGCGGCACAGCAAGAAGAGGTCCCCATTGCAATACCGGTCAGAGTGAAGATGGCCTGCCGAGAAATGGAGGCACGTTCAGAAGAAGAAGAGCCAACCTCAACGAACAGGAAACCTGAGGCAGAAGAACTACGAGAGGTACCGGTACAAGACGCCGAAGTAATGCCGGTCAGAGAACCGAAGAAGAAAAGGCGCAGGGACCGACATCGACGAAATATAAAGAATTCGACACGGGAAAACTGTGGACCCCAGATGAAGTTGGCTGCCCCATGCAGGAAGACATCCTGTCGCACGACAGTGGCACAACGTTGGAGAAATGCCTTCAAGAAGGAAATTCCCCTGGGAACCTTCGGATGCAAGTGGAAAGAAGTGACTGCCACCGGAATAAATATTACACGCTGTGTAGGATACAGGCGTATGGGACAAAACAAGAATAAGGTTGCACCGAAAATCACCAAGAAACGGACGTTCGGGAAGAGACTGTGGAAAGGCCCAGAACGCAACACTGGCATCAGGAACCGAGGCCTGAGACAGGAACTACAATGCAGAAATGAAGTGAAGGACCTAGGCGGCAGACAGCCTCGATATGTGAAGAAAGCAGACCTCAGGGAAACTGCAAGACTGCAGATCGCCAAGAGAGTAGCTGGATTTTCTGTCAGCCTACGACACGGCAAGGATTGGACCTTGTGGAGGGGAACACCTCCAAAACGGAAAGAGACTTCAAGCAGAGGAGGAACCGGTAATGTAGAAGAACCGGCCTCCCCAGAGAGAGTGAATGTGCCACGGGAGAAAGCGATGGATGAATGGGATACAACTGGATCTTCTGGCGAGCTGAAAGGAAACCGCTCGAGACGAGGTCTTGAGAGGGGAGCTGTTGTAACGGCCAGATGATAGTCGCTGCGAGAAGTAGCTGAAACAGGAGATGCTGCAAGAACAGCCTCCAAAGAAAATTAACAGGGATGCACCATTAGGCTATTCGGGACGAACAGCCTTAAGGAGGGAGCAGTGTGACATGTTGCGCAATGGAGAACCCCTCCCTACCCAGCAGCAACGTGGCAACTCGGGCCACAGTGACGTGGCGGAGAGTCAGCACTCCCCCCCCGCAAGGTAATGTAACGCGCAACGCGTGGTGACGTAAGACGGCATGAGGTAACAGCGTTGCTACGTAACAGGCACACACAGCCACTATATAAGAGAGCTGCACTGCCTGCGAGTTGAGTTGTAATGTGGCCATCGCCGAGTTAAGTAGTAGTCCAGCGAGTGTTATCAACAGTTCTCAAGGCAGCAGCCTGTGAGTTGAGTTGGAATATAGCAGCCGTCGCGGAAAGAAGAACCGGACATGTGTGTAACTGTGTAATTGGGAGTGTGTGAGACAGACTTGTATAGCTCCCGTACTGTGAACGTGTAGCCTACTGAAGACAGAGTGAACTGATTTGTGAATAGGGTTATAAATTGTGAAACCCTGCAACAGTGTAAACAGATTAATGCGATCAGGGTTATAAAGTGTGTTATAAATAATTGTAGCCGTTACTTGTAGGTTGTTGAATAAACCAATTAACAATCTCTACGGCGTCTTCAGTAACAAAACACGTCACAATATGTTGTAATTTGTTCTTAGTTCTAAACGCTATTTTTAATTTTGTGTCTCGAAATAATTTTGTGATATATCTTGTTTCTTTTCCTATATATGTGATTGTTGCCCATTTTGTTTTTGTTTTTTGTTCTTATGAATTCTCTGTAATGTTCTGCTTTTTTGCAATGTTTTGTTTTCTGTTATTTGTAGTTAGTTTTGTAATTATATCTGTGTTGTACTTGTTATTTATGAGTATGTTGTTTATAGTTTCTATCTCATTATCTTTTGCTACTCTGGTGATGGGGTAGTTATTTACTCGATCTATGAGGTATTTAATACCAGATATCTTGTGTTCTTGTGGGTGACATGAGTCACTTGGTATTATTATGTCCATTGCTGTGTGTTTTCGGTGGATTGAGAATTGTAACTTTTCCAGTTCTCTATATACGAGGGGGGACCCAAAAATAACCGGAATTTATTTTTGTTATTTTTTATTTTTGCATTTTTATTGAACTGTATATTAGTCCCCTTCAAAGTATTGTCCATGTGCATTAATGCACTTGTCCCAACCTTTTTGCCACTGCTCAAAACAGTGCTGGAATTCTTGAGGTTGGAGACTGTTCAAAGCCTGTAGCGTGTTTTCTTTGACTTCATCCACATCACGGAATCGCTTTCCTTTCAGACTTCTCTTCATCCGTGGAAACAAAAAAAAGTCCGACGGAGCCAGGTCGGGTGAGTAAGGTGGATGAGGCACAATCACCATGTTGTTGCTTGTCAAAAACTGTCAGACCGTCAAAGCTGTGTGGGCTGGAGCATTGTCGTGGTGAAGCAACCAGTTCCCATTTCTCCACATTTCGGAC